CTTTGTCTTGAAAGAGCTTATCGTTTGCCTGGACAAAGAAAATAAAATCAAACCTGAAATTGGAGAAAATCCAACAGTCGCCTGCTCGATGGTTTCATTTGGATCATTTGATTCTATTCCCATTTTAGGAAAGAAACAAACATTTTCTGATGTACACGATGCCTGTAAATCCTCAGTTGAGGAGTTTGGACCTCAACTTCCAAAAGGAGCCATCCTAGTGAAGTTTGAGGTAGATGGAGAACTCACTATCAGTTACGTCTATTCGGGGATGGGTAGACTAAATGCTCTCAATCGTCCAACCTTTTATGAAATTATGGCAGGTAACTTGGATGTTTGGAATTCTGACTCCGAATATGAAGACGAGATCAGTAACGGCTAATCCACCTTTATAAGAAAGAAAGAAAAATACCAAATGCCAAACAAAAAAGGTAAAATATAACATTCTACGCTGGAGGAATTGGATACTAAAATTCAACCCAATAAAGAGAAAATACTAGAAGAAGATCAAGGGGCATGGACCCTTGTGAAAAGACGTCATAGAAAGGCTCCACAACTCCAAAATTCTAATGTTTGTGACAAGAAATTAAGACCAAGGAACAACCAAGGAAAAAACCTGAAGCCGAGCCAAGATTAACTACTAAATCAACGGGGGGAGAAGCAGCTCCATGCATTCTTCCTAGACTACCAACCCTAGGTGATTATTTTTCCAAGAGTTTCTTTGATAAAGAATGTCTTACTTCCAATGTAATCAATATAGATGAGAAAAATGAAATGAAGAACGTATTAAAACAGACTTTAAAATAGGAGAAAACTATCTCATGGCTTAATAATATTCCTGCCAATACGAGTCTAGCAGAGTCTCTTAGTCTTCCTTTTGATGATCGAATGTCTTCAGTCGCAGCGTTAATGATCTAGAAGAATACGAAGGCAATGTTTTAGAACATATTGGATCCACAACTCCTCAAGACTGTATGGTTGCCATAACATTTGACAATGGAGATTTATAGCTCGGTTCTCATCCACATAATAGACCACTGTATATCAGCGGTTATATTCGAGAATCCAAGATAAATCATATAATGATCGATTGTAGATCTACTGTGAATATTATGTTGGTCAAAACAATTAAGAAAATTGGAATTAATATTGGTAATCTATCCAGAAGCAAAATCATGATTCAAGGATTCAATCAGAAATGCTAGCGAGCTATTGGCATGATTCGCCTGAAGTTGCAAATAGGAGAGTTAATCTCCCAAGCTCTCTTCCATGTCATTGATGCTAAAACATCATATGAGTTACTCCTTAGATGTGTTTGGCTGTATGAAACTAGAGTGGTATCTTCCACTTGGCACCAATGCTTCAAATATAGTCAAGATGGAGAGGTTAAATGTGTGGTAGCTGAGTCTAAACCATTCCTTGAATAAGAATCCCATTTTGCTGATGCCAAATTTTACATGGAAGATTAAGAGTGCAATTCTGCAAGGTTAGCCATATCTGGATTCAAAATTAAAGAAGATACAAACGATCATGATATGTCTAATGCTGCTCAATCTCATCAACTTATCAAAGGCAAGTCAAAATTTACATACGAAGGATTCTCTAAAGGTAAAAAACCTCAAATAGAATCAACCGATGTTTGAGGTATTGAAAAAGAGTTAACTCTTCCAATAACTATTATTCCAAAATTGCATCTACCCCATCAACTCATGCGGTCCTAAAGGAACATAAACCTACATCAGAGGTTTTCGACATCCGTTCCAGACATATCGAAGCTTTATATTTCTAGCTCATCCAAACAAGAAGGAGCTACTGAATCAAAATAGAGTTTCAAAGGATGTTACAATCCTCAAGTTAAAAAGTTGTTTGAAAATGTCGAGTTTAGAAAAGGAGAGCCTCGAAAATTTGGTGATCTTGACGCTGTCCTTTCAGGAGGGCGTGTCTCTTCTAATTCTGATAGAGCCTTAGTGTCCCGACCTAAGTATAGTTTGGGATATGATCCTAATCCACCGAGGAAGATCAAGGTCAAGAAGGTTTCCTCAAATCCCATCATGTTTCAAATTTATGAAGTTCCTGAAGAGAAATCAGAACAATCGAGACTTTTAGTGTTTGATCGATTTGAAAATGAGAATGCCAGAGATCCCTCCCTAGTGGTCGACGTAAAAGGTAAAGTCTCTGTCTTCCAAAGATTAAGTGAAGATTCTTCTTGTTCTACCCAAATTGATAGGAATGCACAAGCTTCCCAAATGTTATCACAAAAATAATCTGCATTTTCTTGACTTGGAATTAAAACTTCTGATCTAAGTCCGAAACCACAACGGTCAAGAAGAAGACAAAAACATTAAAAAGTCCGTCCATCTCTACAGGGTAATAAAGATAAGGAAGAAGTCTCTGACAATTACATAGCCTTTAAAGATGCTCTAGACTTAGACTCCAAGTTCGAAAGTTTTGTCGTAACTGATGAACCTGAACCAACCCCACTTATTTTGAAGAATGGGGACAAGCCATTGTGGATGACTTGAAACAATTAAACTTGGGGACCGAAGAATACCCTAGACCAATATTTGTAAGTGCCCTCCTCAGTAAAAAAGATGAATCAGAGTACATTAGTTTGCTTCAGGAATACAAAGACATGTTTGCATGGTCTTACAAGGAAATGCTCGTGTTAGACCCTAAGGTTGTAGTGCATCATCTTTTACTAAGACACGAAGTTCGACCAGTCAAGCAACCTCAAAGAAGATTTTGACCAGAACTGACCCCTCAAATTGAAGTGGAAGTCAACAAACTTATTGAAGCTAGATTCATACGTGAAGTAAAATATCCAACATAGATCATGAACATTGTCCTTGTCAAAAAGAAAAATGGGCAATTAAGAATTTGCGTTGACTTTCGAGATCTGAATTAAGCATGTCCAAAAGATGATGTTTCACTTTCGATAATAGAGTTGATGGTGGATGCAACTATCGGGTATGAAATTTTATCTTTCATGGACAAGTTTTCTGGATACAACCAGATATGGATAAACCTGAAAGACGAGGAGCACACATCATTTCATACTCCTAAAAGCATATATTGTTACAAAGTTATGCCTTTTGGATTGAAAAATGCAACCTACCAGATGGCAATGTAGAAGATTTTCGATGACATGTTGTATAAGAATGTGGAATGCTATGTGGATGATCTTGTTGTCAAAATAAAAAGACGTGACGATCATTTACAGAATTTATGGGATGCTTTCAAAAGACTTCGAAGACATCAATTGAAAATGAATCCGTTGAAATGTGCATTTGGCATCACCTCTGAAAAATTTCTCGACTTCGTTGTTCAACACTGGGGCATTGAAATAGATCAATCAAATATTGATGCCATAATAAATATGCCAAAACCAAGAAATGTACGTGAATTGAAAAGTCTTCAAGGAAAACTTGCATACATTCGAAGATTTATCTCTAATCTTACCGACGATGTCATCCATTCAACAAATTGGTGAAGAAAGATGTACCATTTGAATGGGACGACGATTGTCCAAATGCTTTTCAAAGTATTAAGCAATATTTATCTCGTCCACCGGTCTCACAGCTCCAGTCCCAGGGAAGCCACTAACTCTTTATGTTGCAGTACAAGAATATCCTTTAGGAGCACTTCTTGTTCAAGTCAACAATGAAGGAAAAGAGAATGCACTCTATTACTTAAGCCGGACACTGGTAGGAGTTGAAATGAAATATTCACCTATTGAAAAAATATGCCTTGCATTAATCTTTGCAGCTAAAAAGTTGAGACATTATACGCTTTCACACACAATCAATCTTGTTTCAAAGATTGACCCATCAAAGTACATAATGTCCAGATCAATTCTCTCTGGAAGGATTGGCAAATGGGCACTACTATTGTCTGAGTTTGATATCAAATTCATTCCACAAAAGGTCATTAAAGGACAAGCTTTGACAGATTTCTTTGCTGACCACATAATTCCAATGGAATAGGAACTACAAGAAAACCTGCTCGATGAAGAAGTTCTATTTACTAAAGTCATACTATCATGAAGGTTATACTTCAACAGGGCAACCCGAAACTATGGTGTCGGAGCATGAGTAGTTTTTTGTCACTCCCCATGATCTCATAATGCCCTACTCTTTTGCCTTAATAGAGCAAATGTTCAAACAACGTGGCGGAATATCTAGCCCTTATCCTTAGCTTAGAAGCAGAGTTAGATATGGATATCCACCAGCTGGAAATCTTTGGAGATTCAAAATTGATAATCAACCAACTTTTAGCTAAAAGTAAAGTCTGTAATTCAGACCTGGAGCCATATCATCAATATGCATCAATGCTTATGAGACAATTTGATTCGACAAAAATCAAATTCGTCTTGAGAATTGAAAATAGGGAGGTTGATGCCTTAGCTAATTTGGCCGCTGTTTTAGCTAGGTTAAAGGAAGACTTTTCTCACTTCATATCAATTGCTCAAAGATGGGTGCTTCCGTCGTTACTACCTAGTATTTTGGAAGAAAATAATAGTGTCGAGGTAGTCGAAGATGTGAAAAGAGAAGATTGGAGACAACCGATAATCGATTTCCTTCAACATCAAAAGCTACCAGATAATCCACTGTAAAAAACTGAAATCAAGAGGCCTGCCTCGCGCTTTTTCTTTTATAAGGGAATACTTTATCGAAAATCATTTGATGGAGTTTTCCTTTGATGCCTAAGTGATGACGAAGCAACACAGGTCGTGGAAGCAGCCTAATCTGGACCAAAACTTCATTTTTGAATAAAAATGATGGGGTATTACTAGCCTACTATGTTACAATACTCCATGGATTACACAAGAAAATGTGAAGCTTGCCAAGTCCATGCGAATTTCATCCATCAACCTTCGGAACAATTACATCCGACAGTAGCTTCATGGTCGTTTGATGTATGGGGTCTTGATGTAATTGGACCCAGGGTATGCATACATCCTCGTCGGGATCGACTACTTCTCTAAGTGGATCGAAGTCGTACCAATGAAGGAAGTAAAGAAAGACAATGTCGCAAATTTCATTCGTATCCAAATCATTTATCGATATGGTGTTCAGCGACATATCATAACTGATAATGGCAAGTCATTTTGCAATAGCCACAGAAACAGTTTATGTGCAAAGTTTGGGTTCAAACAGTATAACTTATCCATGTACAATGCGATAGTTAACGGATTAGCAGATGCGTTTAATAAAATGCTATGCAATCTACTGAAAAAGGTTGTCTCCAAATCAAAAAGAGATCGGCATGAAAAAATTGGTGAAGTCTTAGGGGCTTATCGAACTACTTATCAGACTCCAACACAAGCCACTCCTTACGCCTTAGTATATGGGGTGGAAGCTGTACTTCCTCTAGAATGTCAAATCCCGTTACTTCGAATTGCCATCCAAAAATGTTTGACAATTGAAGAAAATGCTCATCTTCGATTAGGAGAGCTAGAAGCTTTAGATGAGAAGATGTTAGAAGCACAAATACACTTTAAGTGCTATCAAGCTAGAATGGCTAAGTTCTTCAACAAAAAGGTGCGACCAAGATCATTTCAAGGTGGAGATTTGGTACCTTCCGTGCGCAGGCCAGTCATTCTCACAAGAAAAACAGGGGGCAAGTTCTAGCCTAAATGGGATGGTCCATTTCTTGTTACTCATGCATTTACTAATGGAGCATACAAGATCGTCGACAAAGATGGACTGCAAATCCGACATATCAATGAAAAAATTTTAAAGCGTTTTTACGCCTGAAGTTCTTTCTTTTAAATTTTTCATTGTAAAGAAAAATAATAATAATTGTGTTCTTGTAAACATTCGACTTGATCCCATTGGGTAAGTTGGCAGTTTGAATAAATTATAAATTCAAGTTCAGTCACAACTAATAAATTAATTCAATTTGTTTACCACTTGTTGTAGTAAAAAAAAAAAACATGAACAAGAAAAGTTTATCCAAAATAAAAATGGCAAGGCAAAATTCATACAATATGGTCTTAAAAAAAGATAGATCAGAAAGTCTTGACTTCATTAAGATCACTCCCCATTGATCTTGCAAGAAACTATCTTCAAAGGTCTTTCTTTTCTGGTCAATGGATGCTATGCTAGTGACATCTCTTGTCCGCGATTCCTCCAATGCTGCCTTCTTATTTCCAATCATACTCTTCTATTCCTGTTGAGCTTGAAGTTCATCACGGAGTCTATCTAGCTCAAAAGTTAGCTGACTAATTTTGCCTTCCAGCAAAGAACACGTGGAATCATTTACTTCTAGTTGAATGTTCAAAAGTTTCAACTGCTCAGCATTTTCTTCAACGGTTAGACAATCCAAGTGTTGCTTTCTTTCATATAAGTAAGAGTCAAATTCTTTAACACATCCATGCGCTTCATCAAGGCACTGGGTCTGTGTGGAATGAGTTGGTAATCACGTTTTGAAGAATTAAATTATTTTCATCCCATCAAGATTTAATGTTGGAGAATCCATACTTCAAGATGTCCTTAAAACACTTTTGAGGGTAATTAGTCATGGCTTCTTACAGAGCAGCCTTCAGACAAGGAGACTATTGGGTAATTCTATGCGGAGGACCAGATATGAAAGAACAGATTGGTGTAGCCCGATGACTATTTGTCTGTGAAGATAGGATACTGACTAAAGCCAACGAAGATGAAACGACAGAGACTCATTGATTGATCTCTGAAATGTTAGATTTCACAGTCCCTGAATTCACTTCATTTTTAGTATTAAAATTATCCATGATAATCACCAAAGTATTTTTATTGATGGTGTTCGGATATTTGCAAGGAGGGTCATGAGAATCATGAATACCATCTATTCCTTGAAGTGCATCGATTCCCCCTCATTCCCGCTAGTCTAATCTCGCAAAAAAAAATTAAATTTATGGAGAAATTTAGTTTTTCAGGGATGCTCAAAAAACCTAAAAAAATGAAGTACGATTTAAAAAAGGTCAAAAAAAAAAAAAAAAGGAGTGCAGTTAACGAAAAGAGGAAACAAACCTGTATTTCGTGTCCTAGGCGACATGTCTAAAAATCCACCATCTGATGATGTGTTCGGGAGGCTGATGTTAATGTGAAAAGCTCCAACTTCACCTTTTGAAGGACTCGGAATAGCTTGAAGCGATCTTGGTTCTATCGGTCGTTTGATTTTGTATATTCAAGAAAGAAGAGCCTAAAATTGAAGATTGTGACAAGAAGTTAAATACAAACAGTACATTAAAAAAAAGAACTATACCTGATCCCTAGAACTTTCATCTTCTAGAGTTAAAGTTTCTCCAGGTGCTTGTGATGCTCGATCTCCAAGACTACTGTGATTTGGAATCAAAATCACTTTTGGCACCTCATCAGTAGGCTCATAGGTGGCAGCAATCTTTGCTGAGGAAACTATAATTTTAATTCTCTTAATATCTCTTTTATTTTGCTGGTTTGGATCCCTGTTCGAGAAGCCTATTTAGGAGCTACATTTGGAGGGTTTAACTCTCTAGCTATAACCCTGTTTGGAGTTGGGCCAAGAACAAAGTCACGGCTCTCACTAGAAAAGAAGACTTGCACCTGGACCCTGGTCAAGAGTGGCAATACTTCGCTATTCCACCAAGCCTGGTATTTAACATCAATGTTTTGATGCATATCTCTCGCATACTCTGAAATATAAAATACAGACCCACTTTTCATCCGAGTCAAAGATAACCAAACCCAATACATGTCACCTATACTGGGGACAATATTCAACTTTCTTGTTGAACCAAGAAGTTTCTGTCTAAAGCCAAATTGTCTCGCAAACCTATGAGGATTATACACCTCAAGAATGAAAGGTGAATTTTCTCGACGATAAGAAACAAATCCAGATCGAATACTCATCATGAATTCTGAAGTATCTGCAGACCTCGATTGGTCATCCACACGTACATCAAGATGAGACGATGAGGGTAATAGATTCTAAGAAAAGCATTGGTGCCCATCATTCCACGGATAAGTTCTAGATTGGAAAGCATTCAGAATGGCAACATATCTTCGAATTATAGGGCAGGAATAACTCTTATGCACGTGAACATAAACACCTTTGACAAAATAAGCTGCCGCCCAAACATAACGAAAATGTCCAGGAAATGAATGTGAAATCGAGCTGAGGTTCGTGTTTGTCTGACAGTTAGATGTTCGTGTAAGTCCGCTGTAAATGCTCACTAATATAGGAGGAACCAAGCTAAAATTGTACCCACTTGCCATCCTAGAAGATGCTTTAAAAGTTTCAATTCTTATACATTCGTCCCAGATGAAAGAACGAAACTACAAAGCCATAGGGAGAAATATGTTGCTATCTCCAATTTCTCTTCTTCTTCCATAGACAGAGATACTGGCAGTTTGCCCCCAATGACGTCGATCCCTACGAGCAATGTCTCTCGACTTGTCTGCTATCATGGGCCTCTGTATTTCCTTCGATGCTCTTTGATGATGCCTCTTGAATGGATTTAAATTCATAGCATTCTTATAATTTGTGTGTTATCGAGGATTCTGGACACAACCAGTCTCGTGAAACTAAAAATTAATCCATTCTTCATGAGTAACCCTATCAGATTCATTCGCATGGACAATCAATGTGAAA